ACCAATAGTCTTGTGTATTAGTTAATAGTGAAATATCATAGTCTCAAATTAAAAAGCTTCAGAAAAAACCCTCCATACATAACACTATTGATTTACATTTTTATTATTAATCTCATTTCTAAACGTAATTAACAAAGCAATGTAGGCTTCCATAGCTGGATTCATAATTAGAATTGGAAATCATATTTCCACTAGGCCATAGAAGGATTCTTCGTCCACGATAATTCTGTCACTGATGATGACTGCCACAGTTGTAGACAAATCATTTGGAAATATGATTTCTACTAGACCATGGCCATCCAGCCTGGATGATAATTCTAATTATAAACACAATTGGTTAAAAACAAAACTAATTGTAATAAATAAGAAATAGACTTGGTGTAACATGCCATATACCATAATTTGTAAATTGGACACTTCGTTGTACAATCCAAATTTATATGCATTCTAATCATATTATAGGCTTAGGCACCGCTGGATTGGGTTCCCCAGAATTGTCTGTTATTCATTGATTAATTAAATAAATAAATATGATAAATTTCCAAAGTTTCTTTATAGGCAGTCAAACATATTATTAAAATAGGAATGATCTTTTAACATATTGTTAACACTTTTCAAAACTTCATTGGCAACATTTCAAAGGTTAATATGTCTTCATCATCAGGCTGTTTTCAATTTATTAGCTACAACACAAAGAAATTGGAAACAATTACTATAAATTCACTAATTACAGAAGAAGTATTTGTTATACATTGCAATGGATAGATAACAGTTTAATAATGATGTGCTGCAAAATAAAATGTCTTACATAATACACTGAAGAAACAATTAGATTATAAATGTTTAGAATAGTTAACATATGTAAGCATGCTAAGGAACAGACTCAATGAAATACACGAGAATTTCATGGTAGAAGAGCAATGTGGATTCCAAAAAGGTAAAAGCACTAAAAACACCAATCTAACATTACAGATGTGAATAGACAAAAGAAGGGAACCACCTTTTATAATATTTATTGATTATGAAAAGGCTTACAAAAAAGTTAAAGACAGAAACTCTGGTAAATACTAGAAGAGGAGAAAGTACCAAATCAGTTGTTCAATACAATACAGAGTCCCCACAAGAAATTAAGAATTAAAATACTGTTAATAGAGGGGAAAAAGTCGGCATAAATAACAACCAACAGAGGCTTAAGGCAAGGATGTGGAGTATCACTCATCCTCTTTAACATGTATATTAACCACATAGTGAGATGCTGAGGAAGGAAATTTAGAGAAGGATCACTGATCACAAAAGACAAGACAGACAATCTTGAATGCTGAAGACCAAACTATCGTAATGGATTCTGAAGCTAATCTACAAAGAGCAGTTTTTGAATTGACGAAAGTGTATTCCATGAAGACAGCTGTACAGAAAACAAAAGTTATAGCAATACAAGGCTAGGAACAAAGGAGAGCCAAAATAGTAATGGAAAATTAGTGGAACAAGTAAATAAATTTTCAAACCTTGGATATGTTGTAAGTGCATACAACCAAACTCAGGAAGACATAGAAACAAAACTTAATAACTACAATAGGATGTGTGGAACAATTAAGAGAGACTTCGGCAGAGACAGGTGTCTAGGAATGAATTCCCTATAAAAACGTTGAACAATAAATTAGACTATAAAATATAATTAAAACAAAATTAGAATCTGTTATGCAATACAGTAAAAGAGACACAGACAAGGTTTGGCTGATTGTAAGTACTTAACTACAAAACTAGGGTAAGTGCACAATATGAGACGCATTTTGCCATAGAAGTGAGGTACAAGATGAATTTCATCCTGAAAAAACAGATTTTGATGGCGGTAAGCCTAATTCTGAATAATATAACCTTTCTGTTTTATGGCACAATTTATTATCAGAAAGACAGGTTTCCTGTAGGTGGAGTACTAAGTTGCATACTTTGTGAGTTAACAATGAGGAAATTGGAGTCTCGGGTACTCTCTCAGGAGAATGTTAAGTTCTTTACCTGATATGTTGATGATACCTTGCTGGTGGTAAAGCAGGGCCAAGTTTGCGTGGTCTTTGACAAATTCAACTCCTATCATCACGACTTGAATTTTACTTTGAAAAAGGAAGTAGATTACAAGCTACATTTTTTTAGATTTCACTATTTTCAGATTTCCTAATTATTGTATTACAAACTGGTTTACAAAGACCACCTCTGCTAGACTAATTCTAAATTTCAATTCCAATCATCCCACTTCTACGAAAATTGTCAATGTAGAGGATCTTGTTGAAAGGACATTTAGAATATCTGACAGTAATTTCCATTCAGCCAATCTTAATAAAATATTTTTATTATTAATTAGAAATTCTTATCCTATTAATTTCATCTCTGAATTTGTACGTCAAAAATTAAATAACATGGTACATAGATCTTTTTTTGCCTCAAAATAATACAACAGAACATCCCAACACTTCACTTCCAAGTGAAGATAGGATTATGCTCACATTACCTTACACACAAAATTATCAATAACCTAATCAAGAGACAAATTCTGAACGATTTCACTGATGTGCTTTTGGTTAATTCTATTCTAAATAAGCCCAATGTTATTCGACACTTTAAAGATTCGTTTTCAAAATTGGATAGTCATTATTGTTTATTCAATAAAATGTTCTCTCTGTAACATGACATATATAAGACAGACTTGGAGGAGGCTAGAAGATAGACTGAAGGAATATCTAAATAACAATAGGTTACCCTTTGAGAAACAAAACTCTATAGCAGCCCATAGAATAAATCAGGAGCATACCATTGAATTTTTAAATCCACATGTTCTAACTGTTGAACTTGTTGGTTTTAGAATTTTTTTGTTTATCAAAATCAATCTGACCAAGAATACCAACTTAGAATGTAACAGCTTTGCATTAAGTTATGATTCCTTATTGGTACAATTCGCTAAAAGCAATAAATAATCTCTTCAAGAGTATTTGGTTTCGGACGCAGTACAAGATAGTCAAAATTTTTCACATGAAACCAGCAAAATGAAATTCAAATCAATAATTCTCAGGAAATAACAAATCTCGAAATTCCTCCCATGAAATTTACAAATAGGGTCAATAATTCTTCCTGTCCTCATTTCCTTAGGAGTTGTCCGCTTAGTGTCTCCAATCAAAATCTCCCTATTCCCTCTCTTCCCACATCACCCCCCCTCTTGTACCCTTACCCTTTCTCTGACCCAACCAAGTCACAATCACTCGTATAGATACACTCTACGCAGGAGGAATATTAACGTGCCTCAAAAATGACATTCAATATCAGAGCCAATAATTCTTAACAATAACGTTTGTCTGTGCTTCTCAAGTTGTGCACTTACCCTAGTTTTGAAGTACTTAAAATCAGCCTAACCTTGCCTATGTCTCTTTTACTGTACTGCATAACAGATTCTAATTTTGTTTTAATTATATTTTATAATCTAATTTATTGTTTACTGTTTTTATAGGGAATTCAATCCTACACAGTTTTATTACCACAACAACAGTTATGTATAAGTTTTACTCTTTTGCACCTGATTATGATGACAAGTATGTAGTTTTGCATTAGTCTTTGGACTTAAGATTGGTCTAAGCTTGCCTATGTTACTATTATTTTATTGCATAACTGATTCTTTTTATTCTAAACATTTATAATTTAATTATTTGTTCAATATATTATGGAATACATTTTACTCTTTTGCAGCATATTGCGACAAGTACTATGTATTAAACTGTTAACTATTCATTGCAATGTATAACAAACAATTTTTTCCATAATTAGTGAATTTATAGTAATTGTTTCCTCTTTCTTTGTGTTGTATTTAATAAAACTGAAAACAGCCTGCTGATGAAGGCCTATCAGCCTTTGAAACGTTGCCAATAAAGTTATGAAAAGTGTAATACATGTAATAATAAGTGTTAATATGTGAAAAGATCATTCCTATATTAATTAACTGTTTCACTGTCTATAAAGAAACTTTGAAACTTTTTCATATTTGTTTAATTAAAACTTATATTAAATCATATATATGAAAAATATTTTAAAACAGAATTTTTAAACCATCAAGTTTACAGTTTATTATCGTATTAATTTTGTACACATTCTGTCAATACACAAGAGAAATTCACTAAATCCATTTTCAATGTTTTGAGTTCCTCACATTACTAAATCACACCTGTTTGATTACTACAATCGCTAAAATTCTGCACTGTTTGACTACACTATCCGCACTCATTTACATGAACCTTCATTGCTCATTGCTAGATGTGAAGATCACGGGGGTGTTGGTTACATCGACAACAGGATTAAATCTGTATTGTATTAAATCTGTAGCTGCTTTTTTGATGCAAAGTTGTCTATACATGGGAGCAAACATTTCTGGTTATTAAATTTTGACATTCTTGGTGCCGTCTCTTTATTCATAACTCAACCATCCAATGAGAGAAAAGGACTGGTGTTAGGTATTCCAAGGCTCAAGAAGAAGTGAGCTATAAGTACAACTTGCTCCATGCCGAACGTTTATAATGTGGAAATCTGTCTATTGTGAACATAAATCGGGTCGTGTCAAATGTACATTCTACAGTATTATCATTGCATAACACAGTAGCTTGTCTATTGTGAAAGAAAATACTGGTCCCTGGAGATTCTACATTGAGCAAATTTTACTGTAATACTAAATAATCGACTATTTCGTTTTTTAGCTAAGCCACAATAAAAATTTGCAAAAATTCATTTTTGGTCCTGACTTTTGTATCTTAAAAGCATTATCAATTGTTTGTCACAGAAAACCAATCTAGTACGCTAAAGAGTTGACAAATTTAATAACTTGATTTATGTCGAAATAGGTTCTTGGACTTTTCGGAATACAAAATACCGACTCTACGTATAATATTTCAATATCATTGAGAGACGCGTAATTTGATCATGTTTACGACCCTGTCTTCCATGAAACTAGAATAACTCTTTTTACTTACATGAAATGCCTCAAGCGGACTCGGACAATGATGCCTCTCATTTTGCCTTACTAGCAATAAACACCCAGAAGTTTCAATGTTTTGTTTACACTGGTTTTCGTACGAAAAATTGCTGGCTTTCCTAATTAGGAAAAAAACAACACAGAAAGACTTTGTAACATCACAAATGAAGGTTATGAGAAAATGACAAATTCAGATCTTCCTTTCAATATGTTTATATAAAGATATCCTTAAAACAAAACCTAGTCAAAACTTCAAAATTAATCGAATCGCGGCAAGTACTCAGCTGCCAAGCGGAAACCGCGGCAAAATTAGGCAAAGCACATCTATTCTGTAGTAATTTAAAAAACAAATGAGAATCTCACAGCAGCTGATCACTATTCGTAGAGAACACGTCACGTTTGGCGGGAAAATGATACCACGATATATATGATGCATGTTCTTTACAAAACATCCGTCTGTCAGTCCATCTGTGAACACTATTACCACTACCACCTAACCATACGTAGGAAATGCCAAATTGAAGAAACCCCTGTCCATTTGGCTCGTGACGACGTTTCGAGATTTTGAAAAATTTGAGTATACTTTACATGAAGCCCTCCGGACACTTTTGAAACTTTCTCAGTTACTTCAAAGTTTTTCTTTAAATTTCTCATAAGAATAGATTAAAATACACTTACAAAGGTGACATAGGTTCGATTTTCACGGTTAAATCCGAATTTTCGTAAATTTCAAAATTCTTTGGGCGTCTTCTAACAACAACAAAATTAAAGATACAGATGTTTCCTTCAAATAAAATTTGTTCTTCATAGTGAGTTCTTTCATTAAGGTCGTGAACATTATTTGAATTTTTTTAGTAGTTTTTGCGCAATATTGCGATCAAAATGGGAATTTTTTAAAAAATACAAAAACAAGATTTTCTCAAAAAAGGCTCCAAATATTTTCTTTTAACTTTTAGTAGTGATAGTGCTAAATGCACACTATAAGATGACATAAACGCCATATTGCTATATTCTTTGGTTGTTGTTTTTTCAAAATTTACACAGATGTAATTTATTTGAACATCTCACGCCATTAGTATGCACACATTCAGCAACTTGTTAACACTATTGTATTTGTGAGTTAATTTACTTTAAATGACTTCTAATAAAGTTTTTCGGAAAAAAAATCTGTGAAAAAGAGCTTCAAATTTACAACAGGCTTCACGCCAAATCCTTGGTAAGGAATGTTCATCCCAAATCACGTTGAAAATGCGGAGGAGAATAGAACGAACATTTTCCGGTAGATGTTTAAGCATTTGATTATGTATCTGGTCTGGTCCTGGAGCAGAATCTTTTGCACAGGAAAATTCATCCATTCTTCTTTTGATCTTCAAAAACCTGGAAGAGCAGTGTACGGAGCTGGAGATGTGCTCGAAGTGAGAGACCAATTCTTCAACTATATGTTTCGGTGAGGTGAGAAGATTTCCATTTACCAGATGCCCGGAGGCAGATGGCGAAGGAAGTCTTCCACCGATCTGTCGAACCTTTCGCCACACTACTTTAGGGGGCGTACGGCAAAAGAGGCATGAAATATAAGCTCTCCAGCACGCGGCCTTACTTTCCCGTACGGTCAACCTAGCTCTGGGTCGTGATCTTTTATGATTCATCCGATTATCCATGGTCAGGAACCTACAAAGCTTTGCCAATGTCCGTTTCTGATCACGCACCGCAGTGGCACAGTGGCCTTCCACCACGGCACGGGAGGATGTCGTGGGTAACCCGACGACTTCGGAATGGTAATTGAGGTGGCGTGAAAAACGGCATCAGTAAAATGGGCAACCACAGTATCGATATCGTTTGGGCAGTTTTCCGATATCCGTATTTCTTTCTCGAATGTTTTCCACTCAGCTCAGTGGATTAGTCAGCGAGGACGGGCAACAATTGGGTCGAGAATATCGAAATTGATCAGAATGGAGTAGTCTCTGCCATGTAGGTCGCCAAAGACAGTAGATGTAGTAGAGAGAGATGGTCTTCAGAGAGCCAGATCGACGAACAATAAAGTGTTTGAAGCCATGCGTGCTTTCGCCAGTATTCAGAAGAATTATGTTCTGGTTGTCAACATTTTCAATTATATTGCCTCTCGAGCAGGTCCTTGTGTCACCCCAGGCGAGATTGTGAGTATTAAAGTCCTCCACAATAAGAAAAGGGGCGGGCAACTGAGAAAACACATCTTCACGTTCTTGTGATACTAGGCCAGGAAGAATGCATATTGTCTACCGTTAGTGAAAATGACGGTAGGTCTAACCGAATGCGTACGGTTCGAACATTTTGTTCCTTAGAGAACAGTCACGGATAAGTACCGCGACACCACCGTCAGCACGGGGTCCGTCATCTTGATCAAACAGATGTTAAACCCGCGAAAACAGAGGGGATGGTGGGGAAGAAAATGAGTTTCCTGAGGGTAGGCTATAGATGATTTACGGCGAGAAATTATTGATCTCAATTCTTCTGAGTGTGCATGAAAGCCGTTTAGATTCCATGAGAGCCATTGTAGGGAATTACCACTACTTTGGCTGCTTTTTCTTTATCACCTTCTGAAAAATTGCAGAGGAACTCTCGTGGTGCTCCTCGTCAACAGCAGTCATCCTGACTGCTGCTGGAGATGGTCGCCTGTGTTCGGAGGAAGGGGATTTCCCGTTGTTGTTGTTTTTTTTGGGGAGGGGGAGGGGGGCACAGGAGACCTAAATCTACATGTGCTGGATAATCGCGCAATGCGAGTCTCAGAAGTAGTAGGATGGGACTTCAAAAGTTTTGTTCAGAAACGATATCTGACTGGAATCTATTTCCTTAAGGGGCTCAGTAGAAGTGATCTGTGGCTGGTGGAGTTTTAGGCTAGGTTTTAAAAACGTTTTTAGTATTATTACCTTTCCACCTAGGATGCACGCCGTATATTCAGGGAAGTTTATAGGCGACATCTAAAGTGCCTACTAGAGCAGGGACACGTTGTGTTTGACTACTTGCTGTTACCCCCGAGTATTGGTCTTAAAAGTACTGCAGAAGGATTGTGACAGGACTACTGAATTTCTAGCCTGGTGTCAGCGTTTGGCCTCAGGGAAGGACACCTTGTCGGTGACTTTTTTCTGAATATCTCTTTCCCGGAGAAAGGTAGGCTCTGGTTGTAGTTGACTGGATGGTTATCCTCACAAATGACACAGTGCGGTGGTGTAGCGTAAGGATGTGGGTCGTGCATTGATGCACCTCACTTCCTGCACACAGGGTTTACCGACACACATCGTAGCTGGGGGGTGCCCACTTAAAACAAACGATTTGGTACATACTGTCACACATGGAGGATGTAAAGCCACAACCGACACTTTCCGGGAGAGACGGACGGTGAAATATAAAGATCAGGGTTGGAGTAAGGATCACTTTCCCCTGCTCTTTCCTATTGATCCTATAGACTTCAGTCACGCCCTAACTCTTGAAAAATGTTATTAGTTCATTTTCGGAAGCAAAGTGCGCACATACAAAGTTGGGTGGATCGTCACTACCACTAGGAGGTCGGCAGTCTGCTTGGTTTTTCGTAATTTTTCTATCTACTGGTCGGTACGTACTTCAAAGAGAACCATTCCATTTCTCTGTGGCACGACCGCTTGGAGCTTCCAGTGTTTCCTCTATGGCTCGCGCCAAACGGACAGCACACGTTTAAACGTTTTTTTCCCTCGGCGCATGCCACGAGGAAACAGGCTTTTTCCGTCATGTTGCAAAAAAAAAAAAAAAAAAAAAAAAACTTATTTCATTCAATAGTTCGTACCGGGTATCTCCTCTTTCTTGCGGGAAGGGGGGCGACGGTTTAGTTTCCACAGAGATATAGCGGGTGATGACACAGCGCTGCCATGCCGTGGATCCCCCGCTCATTCTGGAGTTCAGAACAAGACCTAGTCCGAGCCGATTGAGTGGGTTAACTGCCGACTGCCCGGCTAGAAGAGCCTGAGGCCAAAGCAGGTTTGTTGGAAATCTACATGGAATGTTCCCCATGGTCTGTAAATGACGAATCCATAAGAGCAAAGTATAAATTAGCGCAAGTAGTAGTTTGGTAACAGACAGGTCCCTCAACTGCCAAGAGACACATCCCCTCCAACACAGGTCACCTGTCATGACAAACACATGGGTGGGCATTCACAATGCAGCGGGGCCAGTGAAATAGAAGAAAAGAAAGGATGCTATCAAAGAACGAGAATTAACTATGGGGAAGATGAAGATGACTGGTGAAAGAAAGGAATACTTGAGAGCTCCCTGTGCATGGACCGATCTCGATGGGGCAGGACTACCCATGATTTTGATCCAAGATCATTATGGTATGACTGCCTTAGCGATTCTGGCCATTAATGATGATGATGATGATGATTATTATTATTATTATTACTGAGTTTCTTTATTTGTGTAGTCCATAGGTCTATTATCCTGAAATTAAGGAGGATAATAAAAATAAAAACAAATTTATTTAAAACACAGGTAAAGAATATTTCCTTTATTTCCTCACTTTTCTTTCCACTACATTAATATCTGCAAAGTTGGTGCAAATAAACACGGAATGTTTGATACGCTCATGTTATTTCTGGAAATCAACATATTCATATAAAAAAAAAGTTCTTATATAACAAAGGGCACATTTTGTCCATCATTCATTTTAGTTTATGTTCTATCACATTTAATACAAAATATAAAGTGTGCAAACAATACTTCACTACTTCAACAACTAAGTACTGCTAAACAAAATTTAATCTGATCTTTACACACTGCAACTACACATCATGTCAAATTATAGACACATACATACAACGAAGAAATAGGAACTTGCAGAGTGTCTAACAATATGCACCAAGTATTCACTGAAAATGTCACTAAGACAAGAGAAAATAGATGCTTATGAAAATACTGCCAATAGGCAATGTCAATAAATACTATTCACATTTTATAATATAGTGTAGCAATCCTATTTTCTTCGCATCCTTTGCAAATTCTTGAGTCAGCTCTGAGATTCAATTACCATCGACCACGGCCGCCACCTCTTCTACCGCCTCCTCCTCCTCCACCTCCACCCCACCCTCCTCGACCACCACCACCACCGCCTCTGCCCCCGGTGCCTCTTTCAGATGCCCTCTTTTCTTTCCATGCATCACAACGATCAGCCATGTTCACCAATTCTTCAGGTATTTCCTAAAAAATAATAATAACTATAACACAGAAACTCAAATAATTAAGCTCGTGCCTTACAAGTTAAAAACAGTACAAACTGATCTAAAATATAAAAATACGATATATTATTTATAAAAAAAAAAAAAAACTTTTGGGGGAGGGGGTATTCCTCGTAAAATTGAGAAAAATTATAGAAATTTTATCCAAAAATTAAGGTCGAGATTTCAGTGGTCAAATCAGTTTTAAGCCACCTAGAAAGAATATTGCCTGACAATTGAAGCAGCATAAGAGAGTGATCAGTATAATGAACATCACGATTCTATTGATTACAAAAAAATATTATTGAAGTGATAGTCAATTGTTTTCTTGTTTAAAACCTCAAAAGATTAATAATAAATTTGAAAATCCATCCTCGTGGAACTTTGCACTTTCACATTAATAAAAATCATAAATCAATAAAAATCTTTTTTTTCCGCACTAAAACCTTCATTTTTGTAAAACTAAAAATGATAATGAAAGAAATACAAACATCTAATTAACCATTTTTTCATTTTTAGTCCAGTTTTTGATTAATTGCCATATTGTTTGAGAATTTCTGGTTTAGGTGCTAGGCAGACTCCCAGGTAAACACACGCACAAGTTTAAAGGTATACAGTGAAACTTTGATTTAAAGATTCCTGATTTTACATTTTCCCAACATTTATATCATATATGAGTAGTCCTAGCAAAATATTCATATAAGTAATGAATCATTTTCCTCAATTTTCCGTTTTCCTTGATTCTGCGCCTGACTTGTGAAGTCCTACTGTGTAGTAAATCCCTGATATTAAGATTTTTGCACGGCAAGACTCCTAATTTTGACGTTCTGAAAGCAAAATAGGGGGCATGACTGGGTCAGTTTCAGGAAGGATGGTGGAGATAAATGGGTTTGGTCATTCCACGTCAAATTGCACAAATTTAAGGAAAATTTAACCTGCCAGTCCCAGAGTTTTAAAACATTTTTGCTGTGAAGAATATGAGGAAAAATATGAAATACCGGTTTTTTCATTTTTTCCCAAATATTTTTCCAAGATTATATTAATTTTCAAGATTAATAAAATACTTGCATAGCTTAAGTTAATCATTTTTAACTTGTGCTGTAACTTTAACAGCAATTTAATATTATGCAACTTTAAAGAAGAGAAGGTGCTCATTCATTTGATGTATGCATTGAAATCATGAAAATTTTGAAAAATAATAATAAATCAATAAAATTTGGTTTATATCACTGTTGCAATAGTTCTCTTTTTCTAAATATCCAGTGTTACTAAAAATTTAAAGGTAATGTTCTTCACATTACCATCAACTCTCATAAATAACTTTGTGGGTTAGGTTCCTGTCAGAATTGAATGTTAGATTTTATTAAGAATATTATATTTAGTATTACATAATATTAACTTCTCAAGAATACTGCTTGTAACAACCAATATGTACACTACTTCTGCAATTATAGATTTTCATATTAAGAAAATGCAAATGACAATAGTACCGATATTACTGTAACTATCCGTGGTTACTAACTTCAGAACAATGCACATGTTTCACAGATTCCTATTTACCCACAAATATGAAACTCATTTTACAAACTACAGTATTCAATGAAGTTGTCAATACAACTATAATAGGAATTAGAGTAAAGGATATAACAAAATAAATAATTTTCTCTATTAAACATTTTTCAGTAGTTTCAGAAAGTGCCCTTACCTGGTTAGCTTCTTCTAATATAGCAATTAATTCCCGTGCCTGCATCCAGTCTTCTCGAGTAATTAAACTGATGGAAACACCTGTTCGACCAGCACGGCCAGTTCTACCCACACGGTGAACATATTCTTCAATGTTACGAGGGAAGTCGAAGTTGAAAATATGTCTGAAAAAGTCATACAAGACAGCCAAATGACTTAATTTTTAGGGTGGAAATTTACCAGAAAATAATGAAGGTTAAGCCAAATAATATTGGAATAATAATGATTTTGGAATACGATTAAAACATCTCTTACATCAATGAAAAAACAAATTAAAATATCTAAATTCAAATGATTACATACGTAATATCACTGATATCAATTCCTCGGGATGCTACATCAGTTGCTATAAGAATTTTGACCTTTCCTGTTTTAAGGTCATCAAGAGCTTGCTCCCTATCACACTGCTCCCTATCTCCATGAATGCTCTGACATTCAACACCAGACAAGGTAAGCTCACTTGATATATCATCTGCTCGAATTTTCTTCCCTACAAAAACAATTACTTTGTCATCTTCTTCCATATTTTCCAAAAAGTTGTACAGCTAAAACAAAGATGCAATTTAAGACTCTTGTATATATATCTTTGTTTTGGTGATATAGATTATATATAAGAAAAAACAATTACCTCTTGAGCTTTTTCTTCTTCACGAACAATACGGATTTGTTGTGTAACTGAATGTACTGCTGCGAGATCCAAAGATCCTACAAAAACTTGAAGAGGGTTGCACATGTAGGACTGTGCTAATCTACGCACTCCTTCAGGCCAGGTGGCACTGAAATTTAAAACAACATTTAAAATTATGCATGATGACAAAACAAATATCAAGTAAAGTTTTAATTGTATTACTACTCCTGCCCTTGATTACATAAATAAAATTGTAAGAGGTTAAAAGGAGATGTCTAATTTCTTTCTTCTTCTGCAACATTAAAACACGTTATAATGCATCCCAAACAATTTGCAACATTTTCTAGTTCAGTAAAAATAATTACTTTTGTATATCATTGCAAATTTGAGGTCCTGCATTCTCACAATGGCATGAAATTTTTGGATTCAATTGTTTCCTTGATTAGAGAAAAGAACACATAAGATAATGGAGCAGGCCTCTCAAATTTCTGAATTTTTGAAAACTGCACATTAAAATAATTTTTAGCATCATCATAACATTCAGGACAGCTCTTTAAATGTCATGCACAGTTTTTCTAAAAAATGAATAATTTTTGCATAATTAAAAGTAGAAAATATTTAAACCGTTATTTTCGAAACAAAACCAACTCCTAATTTTTTTCCAAATAGAACAATTACGATTATAAAAATGATGCAGGTCCCATTTTGAAAGGTCTCTCTATATTTTTGAAAATAGGAATAGATTAACATTGCAAAAGTACAATATTAACTATAGAGTTTTTTTAAAAATAAAACCTGTTTTAAGAAATTAAACATTTAATTAAGATCAAGGAGTTTTCACAAAATGTTTGCTTGATTAAAAGTAAAAAATTGAAAAAAATTTTAACTGCTCAAAATTGTTTTTTTCTTTTTATATAGAGCAAAGGACACAGGGCTGATTTTTGCTGCACACTAAAAGTTTGAAAAACTGTGAAAGTTACAAATAAAAAAAAAAGGATGTGCTGTAGTAGGACCACAGTGATTTCACCAACTGTAAAATTGTCCTTTCGAACAGCAGACTGTTTACTTTGGAGAGTACAGAGCAAAATTCAATTATTCATTGTCATAATCATTAAACGTCATATCGTAATTAATGATATTTCATTATGTGGAGTTCTTCTCTAATTGTATTATTAGGAGAGAATAATAAATAATATTTTAAAACTTTTTGTACCTATTTTTTGTTTTGTAGCCTAAAATTTTTTTATCAATCTCTCTTAAAATGATGTGAAAACTATTATTACTGTGTGAGAGAAGCTCAAGGTCATGCTCACAGTTGAATATTCAATTCCCAGTCATGGTAAGTTTCAATGGCAGTTTCTCAGGGGAGGTAAGGGAGAATGTTCTCTTCCCATATAGTCTCGTTTTCAATGTACTGAAATTACTAAATAGCAAATTTGCTTTGATATATGGGGGGAAAATTTACAGTATTTTTACTTCATTAAGTTCACACTGTGTGCGCTTTGCAAGCAACAAGAAAACCCAAATTCGCTTTGAGGAGGAACACTCAGTGTTTTCTCCTTTCATATTGGAATCGTCCATGAAATACAGCGCTACTATGGGAGATGAAGAAACATTTTTTACAGCAGGTTTATGGCCTGAAGGGAGGAGTTTCTCCATTTAGAACCATCACTTGTCAGCTATTTGAATTAGAACACCTTTGGGCTGTGCGCCCATATGAACACAAGTCCTGTAAAATCCAAGGGCCAGCACATAGATGAGAGACACAGTATATCATCACAAACCATGGACTGGCAGAAACCTGTGTAAGAGGCAAATTCAACTAATACATCCCTCCCTTCCAAGGTGATGAACAATGAGATTACTATAAAAAGCGCTTCTATCTTCAGTCAGTGAGAGGGGGTTGCCTTGGGAAAGTATTTTTCTTTTGCTTCCTTCACAACTTGATTTGTGTGATTATAGTCAGTTGTGCTGAATTGTTCAAAGTGTGTTTCACCGATTTGTTTTAATTGAGTAAAAACGGTTAAAATTGGTTTTTTTTTCTTTCTTTTTGGATGATTAAGAAGTTTGTTAACAAGAACTGATTGCTATTGTACAGAAAGGATTTCAACACTGACACTATTGGAGATTTCATGCGGCACCAGCAAACTGCAGTTTTTCAAGGCATGGTTAACATGTTAACATGGTTAACAAAGACAAATTCTTGTTGCAGTTCTCAATGTGTTCTATTTTCAAATTTGACGGATGTTTGTGAATTTCTTTCAGTTATATCAAAAATTAGGTTGAACTCTGATTCAAAAAAGCATGGGAACAGCTTTCTTGTTGGCTAAAATTAACACTTTTCTTTAAAAAATAATATTGCATTGATCTAGCATTAAGTAAAAAGCCAATGTTTCTCTTGCCAAACACTGTTTTTTAAAGAGCTGATTTTTAGACCAGATTTTGTTGAAGGTAACATTCTCCATCTGCAATTTTGAAGTTTTGCGATGTTAACTTTTTCCAATTTTTGAAAATACATGGAGTTTATTTATTCATTTATGAACATGTCCTCCATTTAGAAACAGAACCTAGGTACAAGTTCACATATACAATACCATATCTAGGTGTACTTTACAACTTTCTCTCTTTTAAACGATATAAAAAATTCTTCACTTAGCATACCATTTACATCGAGGTTATATAAATTTGTGAAGCCCCACAGTTTCTTTAGGGAATTGTTATATGCATATTCAAGTTCTAAGATCTCTGATTTTTTTCTTCTCAAAACTGGGTGCAGATGCAAACTTGCAGTTTGGCTTAAAATACATGGGTTTGTTTTGTGGAGAATTCTAGCGACTGCAGTGAGAGGGAGCAGTAATTTTGATAGAAACGTTTTCATTTCAAGAACAGAGAATAATCATTTTTCTTCAATTCCATGTTGTGACTACTATTGAAATTCATTGCCAGGAGAGAGACATGTAGTGATGGTATCGTGAAGGTGAAGAACACACATTCAGGGTTGCGAAAATTCAAAGAGGACTGAACGTAGTGTTGACACAAGAGGACGCCATGAAGGGACTTTCTTTTCAACAATTGTGACATTGTGACATTGGACAAGACATGGATGCTGTTTTTCAATCCTGAAATGAAACGCCAGTCAGCTCAATTGAAAGCACTCTCACTCACTGCCATCCAAAAAATATTGATAAGTGCCTGTGCAGTACAAATTATTGTTTGCAGTGATTTGGGACAGCGATAGAGTTATCCTTTACTCATTATGTTTCAAAGGGCACTTACTAAGATGTTTGAATAACAAGCTCCTTCCATCAATGAGGGGAAGAAAAGAAGAAGAAGAAGAAGAAGAAGAATAAGAAGAAGAAGAAAAGGCCAGAAAAACGGCATGTGTCTCACCAAGGCAACAGACCAGCACATCGAGAGGAGAGCGACAAAGTTTTTTTTTCTCTCTCTCGGCAGTTGCACATTCTTCAGTCATACCACAATTTTCCAGTGGTTGAAACAGACTTCTAAAGAAGTGTTTGTAGAGGTCATGGAATCATGGTATCAACATTGTGGCAAGTGTGAACGACTGCAGGGAGATTACGTGGTTTCCATTTTTCAATGTAAATATTGTGTGAAAAATAAAATCAGAGACCTTTAAATATGAACACAACTCGCATTCCACACACTTCTCATTCACATTTAAATCCCAACTGACTTGTTAGTTTTTCCCATTTATGAATTTAAAAAAACAACACCAAATCATTAACTTTTCAAATTAACAGTAATGTTGGGATGCCCGATATATCTGATACATTTTTGAAGTCATGATCTATTAAGGGGTCTTGAATTTTAAGTTGTAGAGCTAGTATTCTGAGAAATTAATGTTTCACCATTTCCAGGCCCATAATATGTACCAAAAATGGGACCAGCACCAATTTTTGTACAGTTCTTTGATACATACCAGTAAAAAATTTAAGTAAATATTTGGAGTGATTTTTAAGAAAACGTTTTTTTGTGTGGAGAAATTGCATTCAAGTACAAATTATTCAATAACTATTTGTTTTTTCAAAAAGTTGTACATAACCTTTTTATTAAGCAGAGTGTTCGAATGGTGTACATGTGTACCCCACTTGTATTTGGCATTACATTTAGAGCTTGGTATTCAGAGGATTAAATAATATTTTAAATAAAAAATAATACATAAACTTATTGTTAATTTCAAGACTTCGAGGCGGGCAGGTGAGCTGACCGGTTTTGTTTAAGGCAAAAATTATCTTGAATTTTGTAGGTTTCAAATGTGAGCTTTTTGCAATTTTTGAAAATAAGAGAGAATGGAGATATGAGACTAGCACCTATTTTCTCCCTCCCTCCTTCCTTTGATACAATCAAGGAGAATTTTTTTTAAAAAAGACAGATAGACTTTTGTGAAAATATAATTTTTAAAAAATTAAAAAATGTAATACTAAGTTGATATGGTGGGCTGTGTTTAAAACACTTCAATCAAAAAAGTTTTGGGAAAGAGGTTCAAATATTTGCAGTTCATTACTTGCAATATTATTAGTATAATTTTATGTAACTGTTACAAATAAGAGAACACTAATGGTATGTTGCATAACCACTAGTTAATAAAATACATAATTAGAAGAAACATGACAATTTCATCCTTTAACATGCCAACCAAAATAAATATTTATATTTTGAAGTTTTGTGGTCTCAATATGAAATTGTTAAGTTTCAATTCAGACAAGTTGACTCTCAATTTGATTGTCTTAGTTTTCGTGTGCGTGTGTGATCCTCTTAAGGTTGAAAAGGTATAGTGTGCCTTCATTCCCAGAGAATTTTGGTTTTGTTGCAATGCTTTATCATATCCAATAATGATCTCCTACCTGGTCATTACAGTTTGACGGTCTGGTCGAATATCCAATAGAGTTTTTCTAATCTGAGGTTCAAATCCCATATCCAACATACGATCAGCCTCGTCTAACACCAAATATGTAATTGTTGTCACATCAATACATCCTAGAAAAGAAGGAAATAATAAATATAGAGCATTTATACATACAAAATAAATAAATTACATTAAAACATTTTTAAATATTGCGAGCTTGGTTTCGACAATGTTCTAACTGACAAAATGAGGGAACGTGCTCAGCATTCCTTTCAATTAATTCTTGACATTTCTATACGTACATAAACAATGAAACTAGCAGCATCAGTGAAACAATGCAATTACTTTATTATATTTATTTATTTCTGACAAGGTGGTAACTTAATTCGAGCTTGCTCTTATTTCTTTTGTTCTGTTGGTCTTCACAGTTAAATGAACTTAGTTGTCTATTGATTGTTATGAGATTCAATGAGATGAGTGTGTTCTGTTTGTAAGGGTGAATCTCATAATTTCCAAGTGAATGTCCACCACCGACCAAGACATATTTATTTTACAATGATTCAGATGTTTATATTCCATCGCAAATAAAAGATATTTACCAACGTTGAAGTCTGAAGTAATTTCAAAAGGTCTTTCTTTTACCAAATCATAATTTGTTTACTATTTTAAAGTGACATTACCAAAGTCAATATGAACACAATTGAAAAACTAAAAAAAAGGAGGCAAATTTATCTGTAAAGCAGATTTTTTTTTTTAAAGGCAAAAACTAAATTCTAATTTAGAACCCACAAAAAGCCACTGCTCAGATCCACAAACTTGGGCTGAAACTAATTGTCTTTTCCAATATTTCCAACATGCAATTTTTGAAAAATCCGAGAGACCAACGAAATCTGAGACCTCCACCGTTCCTTTAAATGTCCATTGTTTCATCTGTGTAAAACATTTAAAGCAAAAAATTGGAGGGTTTTTTAAGAAAATGATATTTTTATAATTTGCATTGATTTCATCCAGAAAGTACACGAAAACTACTCTTTCTCTTTTCCTCAAAAATTGTCGCATACATGACCTTTTTTAAAAACAAATTTTGCTAATTTATCTGATTTTTATAAACAAATTTTGTTTACGGCAAAAATCTCTATCTTCAATTTTGAAGTTTTGAAATGTTATCTTTTTGCAATTTTAAAAATACAGGGATTTTGACAGAAATGAGGCTAGCACTTTATTCTTTTACCACCCTATGATACATAAGGCAAGAAAATTTGAAGACAAAATCTGGAGCCTTTTCAAGAAACAGATTGTTTAAAAATTGGATAAAAACAATGTATTAATTTATGAATAAATAAACTACATTTACTTTACTACTATATTTTTTATCTCCTACACTACTAAATTTTGTACAACTGTTTTGTTATTGCATTTTGTACTAATATTATACTACATTTTGTATCATGGACATGTATCCGTTACTTCAAATAAACAAATCAAAAAGAATTAAAAAAAATTAAATGCCTATATTTCACACAAAATTACAAGAAAACTACTCAATTTCAAACAATTGTACATGACCTTATTTCAAGATCTGCCTTTAAAGAATGGAGGTCTTTAAGGAAGGAAATCTCAAATCTCAATATTGTAATTGTAGGAAGTCACTACAAAAAATTGCACCATTACATCTTACAAAATCCGTAAATTTCAACGAATACAAGAAGAATACAAACACCAATTTCTTAAGCTTCCTTTACACTATCTGCGAACAAAGTTTGATAAAAACAATTTGGTGCAATTTTTGAGAAAATGAAACTTGTATTGAGGCTTCCAGTAAAGCACCTCCAACAATCAAAATATCCATTTCAAACATGCAATGCCTCAAGTTAGTTTAGTTAGCAGAAAATCGGCAGAACAGTTTAAGGGCCAACAGATTATCCCAGACTGATGGAGAGACAAACAAATATTTTCCCGTAAATTGACTTTTCGATATTAAGGATCCAAATGGAATCTGACTACACCAAATGTTATACTTAGATTTTCTAGTGGCCGATGACATTAGGTCATTGTTACACAACCTGCCTTATAAAATTAATGTTTTTAATTAATTCACAAAAGCCCTCGTGGCTTGTGAATGTGGCTTCCGAAACGGACATCTACTGTTAAAATGTTCATTTCATAAGGCAGGTGTAACAATGACCTAACGTCATCGGCCACTATAAAAAAATTGAAGAATAGAGGACGTAACTTACTATACATATGAACATGATTTATCCACATTTTGAATACCAGGGCCAGACAATAAGAAACTTTTTGTGCAAAATTCATTGAATTCCAGCGGATGATTGCAATCATTTCTCTTTCTACGAAGTAAGGGCAAAAAAGTAAAAATTCTCACCTGCCATTACAAGATCGTTTAACCGTCCTGGGGTGGCAATAATTATTTCTACTCCTTTGGTGAGTGCAGCCTTTTGCTGGTTGCGGCTTCCTCCACCATAGATGCATACACTATGGCGATAGAAATTATTGCGATATATAAAAGAACATCTTCACTATTTCTTTCATTGCAGATGTAATTATAATAATAACAGAATATCGCACAAATGTGCAGTGTGTAAATTGCAGATGTAATTAATATTCCAATATCACCAAAGACAAACTATTATGTAATAACAATGAAAATATGTAAAGGAAGAGATTACCTTTTAATACCTCTATAACTGTACTTCTTGACTTCATTTTCTATTTGCAAAGCTAATTCACGAGTAGGAGCCATTATTAAAACATTTGGACCTCCTCTTTCAGATCTCGGAACTGGTTGATTATCTATGTGAATAAATGCTGGTAGTAGAAATGCCAAAGTTTTCCCTGCAAAATAGAAAATATCAAGCATTTGAACACTTTAACCATAATGCAATGAAAATATTGCTCTAACGGGTAATAAAATATATATATATATATATATATATATATCTCATGAAATTTCTGTTATAACTTTAACAACAATTCCAAATTATTTTTTAATTCTCTACTAAAAACAACAACAAAATCTTACAAATATTCCTTTACATTTTATAGTAGAAGGGAAGAAGTTTAAAATAAGGATATTAGGTGTCCTATTAATTTGCAATAACTTTCTTGTTAGATATTTTCTTCAAAAGTAGAATGGAATTAATTGTCAAAGATATTTCCTGCAAATTTTTCAATCATCTGTCCCAAATATTCTTTCATCAAAGGACAATTCACAAGAAAACGCGTTAATTTCAGTTGGAATAAGTACATACAAAGACTATTATGAGTCCAAATACTACCTGGGCAATAAGTATTTAAGAACGCTAAGATAGGTCTTCAGACAACACCTATGCGAGATTTGTGGAATAAAGTAAGTACATTACGTAGGGTAAGGTGATAGATTGGGCCAGCGGTAGCTGTAGGGCGCTCTAGAAGAGTCCCTAGGTTCTGGGAATTATTGTAGCTGGGTTTATAGTCCGGCAAAAGCCCAGTAAAAGAAAGCCTTCTATTAAGAAATGAGTAGTAGTCTGGTTCATGTTAAAAATTAAGAGTTGTGATAAAAAAATATGGCGAATACATTTTTATATCAACAAACTGCTGATGCTACATCTATTCGATCTAATGTGTTCGAAGCCTATTCGGATCAGACCGACAGTGTCTAGTGCAAACACAGTTTCCAGTCACTAAAATGAAACGAGGTTTACAGTGTGTTATGCATCATAGATTTTGATCAACACATTAACATTACGTTTTAATTCAAGTTGCAAAAAAATGTTAAAAATCATTTAAAAATGAAAGTAAGTCAGTTGAAGATGAGTAACGTTTGGAACATCCTTTGATTTCAGAAAGCAGATCAACATGTGCAAATAGTGTCATAACTTGTTCATTCAGACAAATGACTCTTCACGAGCTCACAGAAGAACTTAACATGTCATACAGGTCCGTACAAGCATTTACTCTGGTAATCTCCAAAAGAGCTGACAAGAAAAATGTGCCCTCTTTTTTTATTATTACAATATGCTGTGTCATACATCACATCTGTCCACTTCTGCTTGAGTCGCCAGATTTAGCACCATGTGACTTGTGGCACTTCCGAAAAATTAAAAGCATGCTAAAATGAAAACTGTTTTGACTCCATTACTAATATTGAGAAGATCATGACGCCACAACTGAAAGCCACTCTGAAAGAAGCCATCCAGAAATTCTTCCTGTCGTGGATTCAATAATGGGATAAGTGCATTGCTAGCCAAGGACAATACTTTGAGAGTCATTAATTCACATTCTGTGTATGCTTATTTCTTAGTTTGTAATAAAATTTATCGCTATTTTTTTAATCACACCTTTTATATCTTAATATTGAGAGGTTGCATAACTCGTCTACCCCATACCTTTTGAAATGGAGGCTACTAGAATGCTGCAACTATTTCTAATACTACAGTGTTATTTCAAAACAAACCTTGTATACCAATGTTGCATTTAACATTTTCTGTTACATTAGGTTCTTTGTAATGTACAAGTAGAGATTAACATTGGTTGATGATTAAAAAATTTTCAATATTGGCAGAACTTTATTTTTGTAAAAAATGAGCAGTTGATATAAAAAAATAACATGTTGGTATGTAAGCAGTAAAACATTTGTAACTAAGTAAAATTTCTTTCAGGATAATTGGAAGGAAATCCACCAATAACCTAAATGAATAAGTGAGCGATTCACATAACCTGTGTGGCGGGGGGGAGAAGGAAGAAAAGAGAAAAAAATTTGTTCTTCTTTCTCCTCTCCCCTGGCTATGTGAATCAGTTATACAAACTATATATATTATATACATACATGCAAACATACACAAAATTTTATATACTCAAAAATACCCACCCTCTATACCCAAAATTGTCCAAAAATACTAATATATAGGTCTACGGTTTTGATGACCTAAAAACTACATAAAAATGGCCGGAAAAGAGTGCATTTATGCCTAAACCCATCCACATTGATTTTTACAATGAGAAATATTAATTTATTCAGTTAAGACAATAATTTGCCATGATAAAATATTTGGAATATAGTGAATACTGTAAAACTTAGTATACGAAACATATTCAGTTCACAAAACTGTCTACACAAAAGACAAATTCCCTAAGTAAGTGTTTAGGGACCTCTCTACTTCCTCTGCCATCACACCACTGACAGTGCATTGACAGGATCTAGTTACTTTTACATGACCAGCATTTTTCTATTTAGAGTCGAGCACGTAAGTACTAAAAAAATGAAATAAAACTATTGAAACAAAAACAACCAATGTCCTCAAAAGTCAAAAAATGCAAAAAAGGCCCTTTTCAACACCAAAATGTCCAAACAAGATCATATTACTTTTAACAAGATGCAACTAGGAAGTTTATTTCTAACAAAATTCCTCTAAAATGCACAAGATTTTTACTCGTATTTGAAAGCATTAAAAATACAAACTTTACAATTTTAAAACAATTCCACAATTCTATCCACAAGTTATGCTTCAGCTATTGTATTCAAAATTTCAATTCAATTTTTTAATTAAGAAAATCCTATCCCACACAAAATATCCAATTCACACAAAATTTTACCAATATTGTTGCTCATTAATATTTCCAATTTCAGTGAAGTTCATTTATTAACCAAAGTATTATAATAAATGAAAAACTGAACACAGATACTTAATAAATCAAAGAAAATTACCTGTTCCAGTTTGTGCTATACCAATGAGATCATCTCCTCGTAGCAAAATAGGCCATGCTTGGCATTGAATAGGAGATGGCTTCTGAAAATTCTGTTTGCGAATTTCTTCTAATATATCAGGATAAGTAGCAAAGCACTGTTCAAAGGTACAAACTGGGTTTGGAATGGGCCTTTCTCCCTCTTTAAATACGAATGAGACCACAATATTATTATTTTCTTGCCTGAAAGAGAGGAAAAGTGACACCCATATTAATAATCTAGGAACTGAACATTAAAATATGTAAACAAAACAAACAAGTAAAATATGAAAATCACGCAAACGGTATCAAATATACCAATTTGTATAGATGTGGAATTATACTTATATAAAGAGGTATATGAATCACAAATAAGGACGAGGTAGTGCAACGTTTTAATAGGAGTTCACTCAAGAATACAATGAAACTTCTCAAACTCCAATCCCTCTCAATGATAATTTTTCCTCGGAAAGGTCACTGAATGTACAGTACATGAATTATATGCACATTATACACCCGTTAACAGACCACTACTCTCCCCAATCACTGACCAGCTTCTTAATAGGAATTTTCTTAACTAACCCCTTTAATGACACCACTTTCAGGAAAACAAAAACTATACAAGCATCTGAATTTTTCAGTAGTTAAAATGAAAATGGTGACTTTGAAACAGCATTCTTGCAACACATCCTGTGCCTCAACTTACTTTTCGGGGAAATTGGAGGGTGCACAGTTTCTGGGAATAATGTAGCAATAAACTGGGTCACCGATATAGTATTATGGCTGCTTGCTCCATTTCAGTTACTCTTCTTCTAATGAGATGGTGTATGAAAGTGACCTAATGTTTGATTCTTTGAATTAACACATTTCCATTCCTTTCCAGAATAACATTGGTACGGTAGATTATCAATGTTGCAAGTCAATAATGCTGGGTTAACAACCTGACCCCAACCCACAAGTGTTTGCCTTATGACAGAATCTGAGCCCAGACACAAGACAAATCACACCTCCAATAGAGAAGTGACACAAGTGCAAATTTCTGATTTCACAGAAATTGCAATTTTAAGTTTTGTAGTTCTGTAATTCTCGTTATAGATTGTACCAAATATTCACCTTCTAGGGGACAGGAATTGTCCACAATCTATTGCAAACAACTCGTCTTCAAAATGTAGCAATGCCAATAACTGCATATAGGAGTACAATGATCACTAAATCTGGTTTCTTTGAGAGAGGGCAATTAATTCATAACAATTACTTCCTATTGTTTTAGGACCAAAATCCTTTCTTTAAAAAAATTAAAATTACAGGGAAAACTACTGCAAGCTGTCACTGTTGGTTTTGGGAACTAACGGAGGTACAAACGTACATTTTCTCGCATCTCTCTTTCTTCTGCCATTTCCGGAAATTTACAGTTCAATGAGACATGCACTTTTTAAAACAATCGTTTCTATGGTTTCTGAGGACAAAGTTCAATAAAGAAATTTGGAGTCATTTTTGAGAAAACTTTGAAAATGTTGGGGCTTCATAAAAAGTACAATCTAGGAAAATTACAAGGACGCTAAATACAAACAAGAGAGAAAAATTGACACAACACCCAATTGGACAATTGAAATGGAAAGAGTTACTTACAGAAAACCAGCAAAAATTTTGTAATGTGGAGTATAACCAAATCCAAGACTTATAATTACATGCAGATACAGATTTCAGCTCAAGTGAAACGAACTAAAAGTAATGAAAAATAATAAATAACCTGGTCCTGCAGAGCTATATAAAAATGCACCAGTTGTAGCTAGAGAATATCTAACAGAAATGTTTAATAAGTGCCACAATGGAGAACATATTCCAGGAGAAAGGAAAATTGCTTATGTAAGGCAGATTTATAAAAAAAGTAAGAAAGAATGCACAAATTACAGGGGAATTAGTGTTACATCTGCAACGAGTAGACTGATGGACGAGTTTTGCAAAAGAAAATTCAAGGATACAGATAAAAGGAACAGAAGAGCAATGTGGTTTTAGAGCAGGATGTTCCTGTCTGGGTTAGGTATTTCGTCTAAAACCATTAAGGAAAAAGACATTAACTTATGATAGTCAATTGCACTTGCTTTTTGTAAATTTAAATAAAGTTTATGATAATGTGCCAGTGAAGAAATTGTGGAGAGAAATAACGTCCACCCTATAAACTTCAGTGTGGTTAAAAGCTTTTGTGATGGAATTATGAGCTGTGTAAAGATCGATGAGAATACTATGTTTCTGATTTCTTTCCTGTGAATAAGGGGAGAAGACAGTTTTGCTGCTGGTTACCCACTTTGTTTAAAATATATTTAAATACAGCTTTAAGAAATTGATCAAGGTGGTGTAGAAAAATACGAATCCAAATCTGATCAGCAAATATTTTCAATTTACTTTTTGCAGTCAACCAAGTTGTGTTCGCTGAAGACAAAGATATTATCTATAAGTCTTGAAAGCTTGTGGAAGAGTATAATGAATGGGGTCAAGAAATCAACAAAGAAAAAATTGAATACATGATACTAGATGGTCTGGGGCAAAACTATATATAATAAAGAATACTTCTAAATACAAATATCTTGGAGTGACATCTTTACTAGAAAATAGAGATGATTGTGATATACAAAAAATGACGTAGAGTCGAACTCTAATCTCTAAATTAAATTCTGTATTATGGGGCCAAAACATAAGAACAGAAACAAGAAAAGAAAGAAAGAAAGAAAAAAATATTGATAAAAAGGAAATCACTTGTTGAAAGTTGTACAAAATATGGAACAGAAGACTAGACTTTAAGCAAACAAATGAAAAATAGAATAAATGTGGTAGCAAATAGCTTTTCTAGATGCTGCAAGCTCACACTTCAGCGTGGAGGAACAAGAAAATATGGCAGAAGAACTTGCAATAGTTGGCATAAGCTGTAATATGTCGCCACTAAATATATTATACAGCGACATACCTGTGTGCGTATATGGAGGAGTTCAAAATTTAAAAAAATTTTAGGAGCCTATTCAAAATTAGGGAGTTGTTGTATATTTGGGTAAATATGGTATTCCATCTGAAGGGCAAAAGCATTCTGTTTCATAGAAAAAAAGTGGCAATTATTGTTTTTATATATATTTTTTTGTAAGAGTTACAACCCGTTTAAGAATAAATAAACTAATAATTGGAGGTGACTGCTTGATCAAGGTAGCTATTCTAACAAGTTTCACAGTGTGAGAAATTGTAACGTTGATATGAGAAAAGGAGGAACCTTCTGCCTTACTTTTGTAACTTCATGGAGAAAACAACAAATATGGATAAAAAATTGACAAAAAATAGTTGAAGTTGGAAATGAACACAAAAGTAAAGAATTAGACATAAGTAAAATTGGATGAAGTAGGTAGGCAATATTGTGCAAGGTGAGTCCTAAAGAGGGAAAAACAAAGAAAGAAAAAACAACAAAAATCATCAATTTACCGAATTTTTTCAGCCATCTCTGAACTCATACCAGCTACTTCCGGATCTTCTTTGTAAAAATCCTTTATTAAAGGTGGACAATGACTCCACCTTTCCTTTTCTGCTGCTTCCTACAAAAAAATGAATTTTACTGTTAATCGAAAAGCAAAAACAAGATTCGATTATCTCAGAGTATAGCACATTCATAGAGCATCTCTTAAACAGTCTTTTATAAATTATTAACATAGTCGATTTGATGTGTGTATACACACTTGCGCATATGCACACACGCACACCCACATACAATGTAGGCGGTTCTGCGAGGAGGATGGAAAAGGGGGATTCAGCTTTACCGACTAAAAATCCCACAAGCTGGGTGGAATAGAGTCTTCTGAAAATTTTCACCTTTAACCCCTGTCTCCCCCCACACATTTTGTTACAGATAGTATCCCAAAACTTAGGGAAAATTCTAAAAAACATCAACATTACTAATTTCACCGTGCAGAAAAAACATTTACCAAAGAAATGGTATTTAAATTAGGTTTAGATATGCTACAAACTCATATGCCTTATTTTACTTGTAATTGAATATAATACACACGAAATGATTTCAAGATCTAACAGTGAGGAAGAAAAAGAAACATTAAGGACGAAATCTCTAGTCTTGAATAATGAAGTTGTACGAGGGTATAGACACAATTTGCATATTTTTGTGATTTTTGAAATTTAATAGCTTTTAATGAAAATTGGACATATGCCACATTATTAGGTGAACTTAGCTTCATTCAGCAAAAATTTTGGAGCTGCTTTTGAGAAAATCTTGCATAAGTATTTTTACAAAAAATATTGCCATTTTACTCATTTACACAAAAACTGTTCTGAAGAAATTATACAAGACAGGGAAGATTTAATTATGAAGTACTGATTTCGTTTAGAAAAACAAAGCAACGTCTTCAATAACAAAGTTGTATGAATTTAAAATTGTTTAAACCTTTTAACAAATTTCAAAAATTTGTAAGATTTAATTAAAATCAAATCCGCACCATTTTCCTCTAATCAAGAGATATTAAAATGGGGGAGGGGGGGGGCGCTTATTGAGGAAATTTTAAAATGTCCTAGGAGTGCCAAGTAAAGTACTCTCAAAAATTAAAAGATGTTTCAAATCCAGAGGACTGCAACATCATCCAGATCAACAGATCACAGGAAGCATACATCACACACATTTGAAATGCTTTAATTTAAATATCAATTATTAATTTAAGATGATTTGTAGTTAATTTAACACATACATTAGATCCATCACTTAACCTGCTCTTTAATCCTTGCCTCCAGTATCCAAATGAAGGAATATTCATTACAGGATGAAATTTCATTTATAATTCACATGATTTGATATTTTTTCCTCTAATGACGATTTTGATTATTATTAGTATTAATAATAGAGTTTTATAATTTTATATTTATAAATGGTGCTGCTTATTTTCATATTTGAAGTTATTTATATTTTTTCCATACATTATACATATTTATATTGTATAAGAAATGTTTTAATATGCAGATGTAGTAATTGCAATAGGTCTATTGAAGTTTATAGTTGCAAATCTACTGATGTTTACTGGAGGAATGAGAAACCTCCCCCTTTTTTGACAGTTGCACAATCCTGTACGAATGTACAATCATGATATTTGTTTTCTCATAAGTCTGTCATCTTATGACCTATTGCAACTGCTGTAGTTTTCTAGATTGATCACAATGGTATAATAAAGAAAAAAGTGATTTTTTTTGACATACCATTGTGGTTACCAAGATGATATGTCATTAAATACATTTTAATAATTCAGCCAAATTCAAACTCCTATTCAACTGTATCAAGGGCCAAAGTCAGTTATCACTGACATTAATTTTGTTTATGCATCAAAAGTAAACTTTGCTGCAAATGTAGCAAACTTAAACATTAAGTATGCATTGGCTGTAAAATGATCTAGTCAGGATACTTATTAGTGAAATATTATTCCTTCTAACTTAGTGGAACTAGCACAGATGTTTTGGGGAATATATATTATATACTGCGTGTTGTCACAGAAGTAATCACAAAATATAAAACACTTAAATTTTATTTTTATCAGTCACAAAAATATATTCATCAATTGTATTTCCTCCCACAAACAAATGAAGAGAGATTCAATAGAATATTCATTTAAAAATGAGTACTGCATTACAACAAATAATGGTTTTTAATTGCATGCTATATGAATAATAATAATAATAATAATAATAATAATAATAATAATAATAATAGTAAAAAAAATACTTAGTCAATTTTTTAAAAAACTTTTTACCTCAAAAAATAATCTTAATTAATGAAGATAATAATTTTCTTTATTTATCCGGATGCGGGAGGTCAGAATAAGAGAGCAGATTGAATACTAGGTTTAACTTCACTAATTTAAGTTTTAAACTATCATTAAATCATCCAAAATTGTTAAATCTTGTTAAAAAAGGATTTTATTTAACTCCCATGAAACAATATCTTTTTCAAACTTTATAAATACAATTCCTAAGGATTTTAAAGGATATAAACCCAATAGAAAGCTTAGGTAGTTCAATCAGAGGGGGTGTTTGTAAAATTACACTTTTGGAAAAGAACACTCAATCTAAATTATATTAATTATGAAGAAATTGTTAGACACAAAAGAAATTGGTGAGAAAAGAATTAAAAGAATATGTCATAACAGCATTTATGGCATGTTATTCAATGCATAGAGAACTATCTGAACAAAAATGTAAAGAAAAAATTTGTTGCTGATTTTGAGAAATATTTTTGATGCTTTCGATTTATCCATATTTCACTGAAAACAGAGAGAAAACTACTTCTCTTAAAAGAAACTAACAAACAAAATGTACTTGACGTTAATTGAAGAACTAATTGTGGCTAACAGATTTTATTTGAAAAAAAAAAATATCAAATCCTCAATAAACTTGTACGAGCAGGTTAAAAAAATGTCCACCTTTTGCAATTTTTGAAAATTCAGAAGCAACAGTGACATATCCCATCTAATAATAAGTTTACTCTATTTCACTATTTTTGTGAGAAATTTAAAGAAAAAACATTAGTGTCATTTTTAAGATTTTGAAAATGTTCTACGGGTTTCAAAGGAAATATTCTAAAGTTCTTCAAAAGACTTCCCTTCAAAATCACATTTAAAAAGGATTAAAATATCAACACACATACACATTAATTGTCAATTAAATCTAGTGTATCTTATTTGGTAAACTCTAACACTTGTCTAGACTTTCTCCTAACCAGGCTTCTCCAGTTTATAATAACTCGTTTCTAAATATATATGGACTAAAAATTGAAAGAGAGAGTAATGTGGAAAATAATCAATGTGTAAATTATATTAATTAAATACCCAAATATTTTATTTTTAATACCATCTTTAAAACAAGATTTAATTGTTTCTTTCACTAAAACAGGCTAGACTTGTGTTGCTGAAAGTACGATCTTCAATACTTTTCTGACATGTGACCATTCACTAAGCATAGCAAAATTTTAAATTTTCAAATATAAAATTACAAGTTTGGTTTACAATATTATTTTGTACTATCTAAACCTCTGTACTAAATCAGAGATAAAGGGGAATATTTTAAACCGTGCATTATCTTGTGAAGGTTAATCAAAATTTACTACTAAACCACTTAAAATTGGACAAAGTAATTAGGTATAAAAATGCACTGTAACTTTAAGAACAAAGGTTATGTTTATATGATAAAACTCTCAAAGCTTTCGGGTAGCCAAGCTAAAGTAAAGTTTAATTCATTTGTCACAGGCTATCTTGCCCAATACTACAAAAGTAACCTATTAACATTGCACAAAAACCAAATGCTACTTGACAAATAGAACATCTGTACTTACATAAGCTTTATTGAGTTCTGCCCAGTTGATGGCCTTAGGGACAGGTCGATCTGCACTTTCTTCACTGTTTGTATTTGATTTAAATGTGTCTTCATTAGGCCACACAGAGGAAGACTGTTGAGGCCGAGGGTTTGAATCCAAAAGATCCTCTATTAATTGCTTAGCTTTATTCTGAGCATCTTGACTACCTGTCAGAGTCACAACTGAGGTCTGTCCATCTTCTAATGGCTTACCCACCTTAACGTTATAATAAAACAAGCACAATTACAATTTTACAAAATTAACAAACAATTTAACAATATTTCATAACACCAATAATTTTTCTGTGTAATTGAAAGACAAATGTATTATGCGACTGACAAATTACAAAAGAATACAAACCTTGATACGAGCACCACTCTCTTCCTCGAGTTCTCGTATTCGTGAACCTCCACGGCCAATAATTCTCCCAACTTCTGATGATTTTACATTCATATTTGTACCGGAAGAGTCACTGTTTTCCCACCTATTATTTGTTGGACCATTCCATCTTTCCCCTCCACTCTGACCACCATGGCGATCACCACGACCACGAGCTCTTACCCTAACCTCATCCTTATTATTGGAAAATCGATCCTCTGACCCTCTATTTCGATACCCTCCACCTCCACGACCATAAACCTGTGTGTAAACAGGAAATTGGACAGCTGGAGCCTCTCCATCGGATTCCCATCCATCATTCATTGCTATCATACCACCTGAAAGAAATCCAAAACAGCAAAGCAACTTATTATATAGTGAAGTATTATTCACCAAATTGAAATCACAAAAAAACCGTTAATAAAAAAATCAAGACTGTAATTCTATAAAAATTCAAATAACCAATGCACTATTGTAAATAAACGGTAGTGAAGTTCAGATAAATTCTTCTCACAAATACGAGTTTTTGCACGGTCGCAGTCAATTACTTGTTTACAACAAAAATATTCAGAAAACGTCAACTGATGTTATGTTGCGATAGAACATCTCAAAAACTTGAATGCTTTAACAATTATACCTCCTTACTATCCAATACACACTTCGTCGGAAGTGTTCTTCAAACAAGAAATATACCACACCGGCGACTTGTTCCCGATCAACTACCGCAAATGCCTACCGTCTTGAACACAATAAGAAGCGTTACGCACACCGTCAGATCCTAACTTCTCCTCAACGCGTTTCCCCCAATTTGCTTCGTTTTATTTAACTCATATCTATTAATTTTAATATATTTCCACCAATAAAATGAAAACTTAACAGACGGCAGGAAGCACCTACTTATCTGCACCGCAATGGAAGATATTTGGATTGGGTTGACCGGTTCATCTAGCGCCTCTGCAGAGCATGAGAGAAAGTAAAATGAAAAAGACGGTCGACAAGTAAAACATTCATTGCAAAATTACGACTTTTTTTAAATATGTCAATAACAAAATACTGCATTAAACTTATTTTAGTTAACTTTACAAAAATTCTAAGTTCATTAGAATATCCTGTGAGCGAAACATCAAACATTTTTGGAATAAGCTCAACGTTTATTCTTAGCCACCTCCCCGGGCAACACGACAAGCAATAGGCATTTGTACTATACTCCAGGGATTCCCAAACTTACTTTCAGCAACCCCTTTTGAAAAAATTGTTTGATTCATCGACACTTTTACTTTTTTAATACATAGATCAAACAAAACACAAAGAATTGCACATACAAATGCCGTTGAGATAACAATTGCTCATATCAATATTCACATACGTATAAATGCCTCGATTTTCAATAATCGAAGATGCTTTCGCTTTTGAGTAGTTGTTCCTAACTTTCATTGTAATACAATGGGTACAAAATGCCCTTTTTTAAAAACTGACCATAACATTTCTCCACTGCGTATTTCAGAGAGTACTTTCTTGCACGACAGGGAATCATTGTGAATGTGTAGTTATAATGGCTTGCCTTTTTTATACATCCTAACCATGGAAGAAGACTTCACCACTCAAGTACTATAAATGTTGGCTTACTTTTGTAAAACTGCCTTAAAGATGCTGTTATTAATATTTTCGCAAGCCTTCATTGACTTCACAAAGGGCACATATTGGTAAGATGTTTTTGCTGCCAAAATGCATTGTATTCATTGGCTTGACGTGGGATGTCAGGAGGATCAGTCATTTAACAGTACTAGATATTATCCATATTATCCGCGCACGTTTTCTTGAGCCAGATTCGCCAGATTCGAAACGAGAGGGGAGTTTGGTGATTTTGATGAAAGGAATTTTACGTCGAATTTGTAGTCCATGTTTCCTTGCAAAATTGTTTTTAATACACGGGAGTGTACATTCCTCACCACCAGATTTTGTCTACAACTCTGATATCATTTATTCTTAATTCATCTAATGTTGGGAAAGGAGTGGGAGTAGATATCCCGGGGCTCAAAAAAACGTGCGGATAAAATACCTTATCCTCGCTCGTAGTTTTCAACTAGGCACTAAACATCGATATTTTCAAGGAATAAATCGCTTTCGCTATCCACTAAGCATGATGCATGGATCCTGGTGATCGAATTTTAAGTTTTTTTCTGTTTCCGCCTGAAAGTTTAATTATAAAGGTCTAGTCCATCTCTGACAATTCGATAGTCATCTGTATTTCTTTTGTCAGTTTAAACGCCAGGTTAATTCCAATTTTGGAAACAGGCACGATAAAAACTTTGCTCTATAGCACTGTATTTTATCAGGATCAACACTTTTGCAGTTGTCTCGGAACTTTTGAAGAGTGGACTATCAGGGATTCTAGTCTCTTGACTGAATTTGTCTTCGAACACTCTTTTTAAAACAAATTTATACCCATGATGGGGAAAACAAAAATTCATATTTCTGTATTAATTTTTGTCCTATAAGCTCGAAGGCACCATTGATAAGACCTGCATTTGAAGGTGTAATATTACAACAAAGAATTTGTACTTAATATTGAAGATTCCAGTCTACAATCGCGTTCCCAACAGCTTGCGAATGTTCGATAACTGAAGAGCTTTCCAACCTTGATGTAGCAATAAGTTGTTATTTCCATATGAAATAACGATCGCAAACGTTCTTCTACTGATTTCCGAGCATCTGAAGCATTCATCAGTTTTCAGTCACAGTGAACCACGTCTATTAACTCGTCTTAAAAATCAACTTTCATGGCTTCCGCACGCTCTTTACATATCTTCAAACGAATTTTTATTTATTGCGTTCTTACTGAAAGTTTGTCAGTATTATGTTCAAGTGCTTCAATGGTAGCTTCAAGAATACAAATGAAACTCTCATACTTAGTTGACTCCTATCAAACGCTGCTTCTAATTTTGGAGTAATGAAATTTTTCCACATGTATATTTTACTTGTTCTAGGTCGTGTATTCTCGACCAGTGTTGGCAAATCTGTTTGCAATTATGTATTTTCATTAGAATCACAAGATAGAATATATAGCACGCCGTTTATCTTCCTAAATAGTTCCAAGGTGCGCTATTTCTTCTTAATCGGTCATTTTTTTAGAGAAGTATTGAACTAATTATTTGATGTTTCTCCTCCCCTATCAAAAGTCTACTCTTTTCAAAACTGTGTTATCTCACCGACATGTTAACCATTTGAAAAAAGATGCTTTTTTAACAAAATAGGAAGTAATTACTTGCATGTCGATATGCCAGCTCGCGATAGACTGAGACTGCAAATGCAGTCGACAGAATTCAGAATTAAGACACACCTCCATGTCTTGAAAATCCCCTGCTTCCACACCACCGAAATGAACCGATGCGACGTTAAGGACACATTACCCCACTTTGACTGTACGTAATTGAGACTACAAAAAGGGACATGACTGACACTAACAACAGAGGTAAATAGACTACTACTGTACTACAATCGAGAACTACAGAAACTCTGACTGAATCCGCCAATGCAAACGACGCCAAAAACTTCACCACACGAGGACATGCTGGCGACGACCAGTGACTTGCGCCCTTTGTGCCAAATCCCATTCCACCGAAGAATGCCCTTCCTTATCCTTAGATCAATCCGCTCCCTTTACTCCCACCTACTGCAACTGCAACCGCAACCACCCAGCATAGACCTAATCTGCCAAATCAAAGGTAACCAGATAACAACAACCAAAAAGCTCTACCCAAGCACCCCTCCCGGCATGTCAACAAAGTCCATTCCACAGAAAACAAAATGAATCCTACTCCTCTGCCTCCGACCCCAATCAACCACCTCCAAACTACAACCACCCAAGACATACAGTAGAGTTCCGAGTTCTCCGGCTCTGTGACGTCATGCGATTACGCTGTGGCAATCAGTGAGCGACGGAGACGGGGTAGAGTGGGGATACGGGAAGAAGGTGAAGGCAGAGAGTGGGGAGGAGAAGGAGAGTACTATTCAGTTAAAAACATTGGTCTTACCTAATCACTGTCCATGATTATAGGATGAAAGTGAAAACAGCGATGAGCTATCGCTGTTTTCACTTTCTTCACACTCGTTATCCGAGTCCATATTTATAACAATACTGTCTATTAATGTCGCACTATACCATCCCTTTCTCAGTATTCATTTTCTAGTTTCGTGACTGAGAACAATACCCCATCTAGTTCTTCGGTAGTGACTTGTGTGATACCCAGTTTGTAAGATCTAACAATTTTGCTTCGACATGTCCCCATTTACATTTCTTTCCTTTATGAGTCTCTTAATTTTTGCCAAGCCATTTCAATGGATTCAGTTCACACATGTAAGGAGGGAGACGAATGACTGAATGGCCCCTACTGTAAAACAGCTCATCAATTTGTAAATTTTGTCATTAGTTTTAGCTGCAGAACTAGTTGATATAATTCAGGCTTCCTCAGGTTTCATTAACGTGAAATCCTTTTGCATTCACCATTGAATCAAATCTCGCTTTACTTAATATGCAGTTGGGGTTTATATAGCTACTACACTATAATATGGGCGATTATCGAGCACAATTACTGCATTATAGAACGCAGGTTTTCTAAAATTTTTTCCCTAACCACTTTTCAAAATTTTTTGGTTCATTTGACCATGGTAATCGCCTGATGCAGAACCAGCTTTGAAAAATTAGTTCCGCGCCATAATGAATCCATTGTTTCCACCAGCGTGAACAACAATTAGTCTAACTGATGCGCTTATGTTTGCCGTTACACTAATTATATCATGCTCCAGCACTTTTTAACTACTAAGCTGTTGTCAATCCACGTTTCGTCAATATACACTATTTCACGGCCTTCTTCCCCTTAACTTCCTCATTTGACGAGATTATTTGATCTCCAATCAACAATGTCTGCTCTTTCGATCAACACTTTACGTTTGAATTACATTCTTCCATCTGAATCCCATCTTCTCATCAACCTCCATAGTGACTTTTCTCCCCAAGAAAAATTGATCTTTCTTTTATTATGGGCAACATTGTTGATACCGTTGGCACTTGCTTTTCACGGACAGTAGAAATCAAAGATAGCGTTTCTGATAACGCCCATGTCCAACTCATCTATTTCACGGCGTTGCGACGAGTCACTGTTCTTTTCTTCCGGGAAATAAGTCGCCTGTCAGCACTTCCTCATTTCGTATATTATTTCTTTCCGAATTTTAATACTAGTTACACCAACACCAGTATATACCCCGCTGCTCTTCTGTGGCTTTGTGTCAGAGAACTAGCAGATGATTTTGTTTCTTTTCTTTATCGTATGCCTCAATTACACTTGCTATGATCTTCCCGACCTTCACTGTGAATTGTCGAATTCGATTTCCGTTTCGCCATTTCACGTGTAACATTCGCGCACTCTGAATCACAACTGAGCTGATGTTTGGCGAAACCAATGCAGTAACGAGTACCCGCTCGCTCTTTCCCACAGCCCACATATGAGTCACGGATGTCAGTTAACAAATCATACAGCCCATGCCTTTATCGCCTCCCTCCTCCCCGCGGAGAAACGTAGACCCCTCTCACAGGGCCGGAGAACTCGGAACCGAACAGTAGAAGACCTCTTCTCCCTTCTGCAATTACCTACACTCAAAAAAATTCTTTCTCACCTAAATTAATAACGGCAGGCATAAAACTTATTGAAATACTAAATTAATGGCTCCCCCTTCCCGAATCCTAACATTTTCCTCGTAGAACACACATAGCGCCTTAGCCCAGAAAAAAAACCCATCCTCATCTAGATCCTAAAAGACTACCCGTTCGGGATCCTACTACTTCGAGACTATGCTGATCCCTAGCAACTCCCTAACCATCCAAAATTTCCTCACACACCGGAATGACAGAACCTTTGTCTCCGGAGGCAGCACGGCCATTCTCATCTGACGATCCCTCCCACACACTCCTTACCAACTTCCTCAATCACAGCTCTAGAATATACTGCCATCCTACTTGGAACCCCCAGCATCATCATCGTCTCAGCATGCAAAAGACCCCATTCCTCTGATTTGAATATCCTTAACAACCCATCCCACCCCTTTATCCTTGTAGGCGACGTCAACGCTAAGTTCGCCGGATGAGGCTGCTCGACTAGTAACATAGCTGGACTGAGACTTGAAGACTTTCTGAACAATCACCAAATCCACATCAAATGTCCCCCTGAACTCACACATACAGTTAAAGGAAACCGTCACGATATCCTCGACGTCTTCCTACACTCCTCCCAACTCCATATCACCACACCCAATCTCAAATATGACCTCCATGACTCATCCGACCACCTTTCCTATATCCACCTCATCCAACTATCCCTATTCAAAAAGATACATGTCCCAGCTAACTTCCAAATAATCCCTTCCATAGACAAATCCATTGAACACCTGAACCACCATATGCTTCGCGCCTACAAACGAACCAACACCCAAACCCAGCAACTACACTCTCACCTCCCCGACGAAATAATACTATCAGACTGAACAGAGAATTACCGCGTCGATTCTACAAACACAGAAGAGAGATTCCTGTGCGCCTATGATCTTGCCTTCCTTACGCAACCTCACTCGCTCCTTAAGAAACTTTCAAAAATCCCTCGACTCCTTCCACATCTAGGCCTCCCAAAATTCCATTAATATTAACCTTCTAAATCCCAAGCCTTCCTCTTTTCCTATAAAACCTATCCATCAAATACACCCCTTCTGACTATAAATCAAACTCCTATCCCCTGGCAACCTCAAGCCAAGAATTGGCATTACCCTTTCCTGCAGGCTCCTTTGGTACACTTCCTCAACACCACAATAAAAACCAACCGGATCATCAACGCCCATACCCTACCCTGACAAATCCATCTTTCCTCATCCCAAAGAAAATCCAAATCTACAATACCTACATCCGCCCAACCGTTTCCTAAGCCCATCTCACCTGGTTCAATGCATCCATTAGAAACTACAGGAAATTAACCGTCACTGAAAACCGAGTAATCAGACTGATCTTCAGCCCCACTCCCTTAACCCGCTTCAACGACCTATGACAACAGAACAGAATACCCTACACCCTCACTCATCTTTACAACTCCCGTACAAACTGTACAAAAGTTAATCACCAATCCTCAGTTTAGAAACCTTATCATACCCCACCACCATATCATAATAACCCCCCCCCCCAGCACACCCCCTGGACATCCTGCAACTCCCTGCTCCCATAATCTAGGCCAGAGAAAGAAAAAGAAGACCAAACGTCAAAGACATAAACGACCGACTTACTACTGACCCACTATGAAACCAAGACGAACCCGAGAAAAATATTCCTTTCCTCTCCTATATACCATTCCATTCCCCTCCCACACCTTTTCCCCTATTCTCAAGCCCCCTAAAAAAACATCCCATCACTTCACCGCCCAGGTTCCCAACCCCTGTCCCTGTACGGGGGAGAGGGGTCGCAACTCATCAGCAGACGACCGGAACGAATAAATATGGGCGAAGAGTCTCATTAAGAGGCAGGAGGATCACTCAAGCACACCCAGGTTTCTGTTTTGTTCTGATACCAGTAATAAAGAAACCGACCGAGTGAGTTCGTCTCGTTTCTTCTGCTCTCTTAGCTCATCGTGTACCGTCTTCTCTCTTCAGGATACAAAAATGAAATATGACGCTGGGAATTTTCATTGTTCACTGTGAGTCAGTTCAGCGTGCAAAGAATTTAAAAAAAAAATCCGGATGCCTGAAAGACGACACCAATTCAATTCACCATTTCCAGTAAAGTCATAACAGTTCTCAAGCGACAGTAAACTCATAACACTTCTCAAGTAAGCGTTTCCAGATGGAGTCAGTGCCTCGTATTACTAAACAATGCGAATTCATGCTTCCACAAACCTCTTCAGAGTGAGTGCTGAATGGCATTTCTTCGCTTCGCAACGTATATAGAAAGGGACCTTGCGACGTAGTCAGGGGAAGGAGGAAACTATGATAATCCTAATAAAAACTAGTCTTGAGTACTGACAGAAAACTATTAATTTACGAAGGTAGTTATTTAAGTAGAATAATATTGTGAAGAACATTAACTTTATATTTTTAGCAACGCTGAAACAGACGACTGTTGCAACAATGACATAATAAAAAAACAGTAGAAGGCACAGAGAAAATACCAACGAGCTAGAATATACTACATAGAGCGGCAGAGTCGCCACCTTTGAAGCAAATTGAAGCCATGTTTTTTACAGTCAAAGCAGCGCCTTCTGGGATACAAAGTATTCTAGCATTACGTTTCGCGCAGGTTATGGAGGTTACACCACCACTCGTATACAATCATAGAGGAGAGATACATAGAGATTTGTATCTCTCCTCTATGTATACAATACCTCCTGGTAGTATGATGTAGGTGGCATTGCTCGTATGTTTTGACTTCAAAGAGCATGGCGGCCACTAGTTCTGCGAGCCTCCGCCAAGAACGCTGGAACTATAGGGTCAGCCACTCCATTTAGTATATTCTAGTTCTTGGAAAAAAACGTACTTTCATTTCTTTATGAAACGGTCAATTAACGATATTATACTCGTAAGTAAAGTGAATATCAAATATTACCTCATACATCATATTATCTTATATTCAAGGAAATATCAATTTAATTAACTGTATCACTTGCTCTTATTCGGATAAATATTCCGTCCCTTTAATGCTAAATTGAATTCGTTTGAGACTTTTTAATTTGAATTTAATCGGCTATGAAGGTCATATGTGTATATCTGGCACATAGTAAGATGTGAAGGGATACTTCTGTTTATTGCTCTGTGAAAGTATATTGATGTAATCGTCTACTACTGATTGACACGTGCTTGGGGTGACGCTGCACAAAACAACAAACAGTCGTTTCTATTGTATTTAATTTCTCATAATCATCTCGGTGTCCCACTTTGTAACATACCAGACGTATGTAGAACTTTTGAAACTTGCAAAAGTATTTTCCATTTTTAAATTATCGATGTTTTGGAGAAATTAAATAAATAAAAATAAAATAGATTAAAACTTTTTTAAATAATGAATTTAAAACATACATCAAAAGAAAGTGCATTTTTAT